GGTAATCATTTGGGATTCATTGGGTTTGCATAGATTCGAACAAACCCAAAAAACCCGAGTCTCGGAAAATGGGATGACATGTTAATCAGTGAACCTGTTGTTGTTTTATTGGATGATCGCATGGGTATAGCATCCACTGCAGCTGACGACCAGCATTATATTTGGCATTTCGAAAGTTATGTATTAGATTTATTTGAAACCTGTCATGTTAATGTGGCCCACGTATCGAAACACATTTTTAAATGTGAGATACAGTTATAGTTCAGCATGGTTTACTGACATGAGGTAATCTGTTGGTACTGAGTTGATATAAAAGAGAATGCGCTCTTAAAATTTTGAATACCATCTGATAGGATTTTATATAAATATAACTGAAGAGTATTAGAGTATGAAAACTCTTCTTTCAAATTAATATAACAGTAGGAATGCTAATGTTTTGTAATATCTTATGTTTTTGTTCATTCAGAGAGAATGGTGAATCAGAATACATTTGATGACATTGCACAAGATTACAGTTATTTTGAAGATGCATCAGATGAATACAGAGATCAAGAGGGGACATTGCTTCCTCTTTGGAAGTTTTCATTTGACAAAGCAAAACGACTGGCAGTAACTTCATTATGTTGGTTAGAAAGCAGTAATATATATTTGTCTATCCAGGATATTCTGTAACTAGGAAATAGTTGATTACAAAAACGCAAGATAACAAAATTGATATTTGTGAATAATCAATCTGAAAGTCCATATTAATATCAATAGATGTCTATTTTTATTTATTAAAGCACTTTTTTTTTTAAACAGGGACCCAAAATACAACGACTTGTTTGCTGTTGGACACGGATCATATGATTTCACCAAACAAGGAAGAGGAATGTTGCTATTTTATTCATTGAAAAACCCATCATATCCAGAATATGTTTACTCTACAGAAAGTGGTGTAATGTGTCTTGACATTCATCCTGATTATCCGTAAGTATGCGATAGAAAATTTCTTATTTAATAAATACTTCAAATAATAAGCTTTTTCAATTTTTCCATGATGGTCTACTTGTAAAGCCAATCCAGAATAATACTTTTTATAGTAAAACATAACGTGAAACATGAATTCTCTGTTCTATTAAATATTCCGAATTTTGTTTTTTTGAAAAATATATCAAATCACATACAATAACTCTCAGTTTGCAATAAAGTTTGATGCAATCATTGCCTCATTTTATGAATATTTGTTATATACTTTCTTAGGTACTTAGTTTCAGTAGGATTCTATGATGGCAGCGTTGGTGTGTACAATGTGCAAGAGAAAGCACGTGGTGCTATATACAAAAGTACCGCAAAAACAGGAAAGCACACAGACCCGGTTTGGCAGGTGAGCACTCTAAAAATTGTTTTTTGCGTTTGTCTGTATCCATAAAAAATACATTTTGCATATTTTGAAATAATTTGGCCGGTCGCTAATAAGCTTGGATCAAAAGGTAATTCCATGCAGGCCTGAGATTAATCAACTCAAATGAAATATTGAAAAGTCGTTTAATTTGTTTTGTAGGTCAAATGGCAGAAAGATGACTTGGACAACAATCTCAACTTCTTTTCAGTATCATCTGATGGAAGAGTTGTATCATGGACTCTAGTTAAAGTAAATTAAGTTAAATTTTATGCTTTGAAGCTATATGACAGAACTCGAAATATCTTCTTTTTGGATTGACTACACCCTTGACTGGCCCTGTGACATGGGTCATCAACAGTCATGCTCAAATTATATTACAATTCAATGACAGTGACATTAAATTTTGTGGCATGTTAAATGTGCAATTGACATGCAGTGCGTAATATTAATAACAGAAAAGATTCGAGGAAAAAATCTGTATTACGGTAATTTTCCAACTGCATATGAATAAATATTTAAATTTGAGGGTACGAAATTGCTTTGCACTCTGGTATAAAAATGCATTGATAAGGTAGAAAACGCTGTGCCATGTAAATCATGATGTCATTAAGTTCCATTGTATTAAAAATTATTTTGAATTCAGAATGAATTGATATTCACTGATGTCATAACATTGACTGTCAGCGATATTCCTGCTGAGGGACCAGATGGAACACAACTTCAGTTATTAGGTATGACATTAATTTTGTTCTTGTGATGGTATTTACCTTCAAATAAATTTTAATTCATTACAATCTCCTCGTCAGGATGTGGTACTTCATTCGACTTCCACAAGAAAGTTGACTACCTGTTTTTGGTTGGCACTGAAGAAGGAAAGATTCATAAATGTTCGAAAGCATATTCGAGTCAATTCCTTGATACAATTAATGCTCATCATATGGCAGTTGATGCTGTGAGGTGGAATCCCTTTCATCCAGATATTTTTATCTCATGCTCAGCAGACTGGACTGTGAAAATCTGGGATCATAATTACAGGTTCGTCTTATGTTACCATAGAAAAATTGCTATTGTTGCCTATGTTATTGTATACTTGAATATGCATGTTGCTTGAATGAGACTTAAACCTAAAAGAATGTATTCCAAATAAAACATTTCTTTAGAAAACGTTAATGAGACTCCACCCTTGCTCCAGCCAGAAAACTGTTCTAATAAGTTAACATGTAGTACATATAAATATAATATGTGTTTCTAATCGAAACTAATCTCATTTTAGTACTACTATAATGTTCGCCTAAGAAAAGATATTTTCAGCCTGTTGCACAACAGCTGTCCAAATAAGGACACCTAAATGAAACACTGGTTGCCCCAGAACCTATGAATTTCTTGATTACTTCTATGAAATAACGCATTTTACAATTGGAACTTTGTGTATAATTGTAAGCAAAATTTCAAATTATGTTCCCCGAAAATATTTCGCAAATGACTTGGATTCTACTTCATTTCATCCCCCTGTATATGCTGTCCTGGTTTCTGCTTTCTATAGTGAAAAAATGTTTGATGAAGTTCTATCATATCATTTTTTAGTTTGTTTCGAATGTCACTTTAGGGCATCACCATATAACCTTCAACTAAAACTGAAGAGTCAAATGTCTGTGATATTAGTTGTACATTCAAGCATTAGCTAATGCCATTCTTATATTTAGTGATCAACCAATGTTCACCTTCGATTTGAATAGTGCTGTGGGTGATGTTGCTTGGGCTCCTTATTCTCTCAACCATATTTGGTGCCGTCACATGCTGACGGAAAGGTAAATAACTTATATATTATTATCTATCTAGTTTGCATTGATATTGTTGATAACCTTGAAGAATCTGCTTGTTCTAGATCAGTTCAATGATAAGCTCATTATACTGTGTATGTTTAGGTTCATGTGTATGATCTCAACACAATAAATATGAGGCATTTGTGTGAACAATCTGTAGTACAGAAGAAAAAGACTAAACTTACTCATATTGAATTCAACCCCAAACAAATGATTGTTATTGTTGATGATGAACGTGGATATGTCACAATGTGCAAAACTATATCACCAAATCTACGAAGGAAGTACCAAAAGGTTTGCTTTTATGATACATGTACATCTTGTTAATATTCCAATATCTTCAGAGATGCTATTTGACAAAAAATCTGTATACGTTATAAAGTTTGGGGGTCATAGCTGCTTTCATATTTTCAATGATTTTCTATATTAATGAACTGTGCTTTTATGTAAATGTTGCACAGCATAAAACAGGTAATAAATCAGGTGTAGATTAAAATGCCTAGTTCCTCATGAACAATTGACATTATCTTGTATATGACAAGTGTTTAAATGATTAATTTAATATTCATGCTAGGCATTGTGAATTTGTTTACATTTTCAATTTTTTACAGGAAAAAGGGAAAGGGTGAAGAAAACACACCAATCGATCCAGAATGAAGTTGCTAAATTGGATAAAATCTTAGCCTTGTGAGAACCTGACAACAGAGATAACAAGTGAAAACAGTAACGAATAAAACAATTATTTTTCTTGATTTAACAACTTGTTGACCAATGGACAAGGGCTTCGGTATTTTGTTGGATATGTAGATAAGGCACTTTTTATTTAGCAATTGTTACACTGTTTTAATAAAATATATATTTGTTCTGAATTTTATTTTGGAATTCAGTTTGCTATATACAGGCTATAGGGGGAATTGCCTGATTAAAAATATAGGTCATGTGCACTTACTCTACATAACCAGTCCGCAGCTTCAGATTCCTCAATATATAATTCGGAAAATCACTCAAAGAAGAGTAGTTGGAAAAGCGATCACTATGTCATAAAAATTCACATATAGATCATGTGTGTGCTTATATCAGTTTCATGGAATGAACAAATTGTTGCCTCCATTTAATGAATGAACAATAATGCTTTTTGGACAGGGTGGAAAAATTTGAGACAAAGCATTTGCTGCAAATTTAAGAGATATGCCTGAGTGAAGCCATATTTTTTCAATGAGGAATAATTTATTATACTGAAGACTTGTTATTGAATAATATGGAAAAAATCTGTAAGGTAAACATTCGCAAATAGTAATTTGTGGAGAGTACAAGAAATATTGGTTTGTTCTCAGTTGACCTTTTCGCTTCAGCAGAATTGAAAGTTAACAATGAGATTTAATGAGCCAATGGGATCCTTCAGTGTGTTTTGTTGCTTGACATTATTAATGCTCGATGTCAGATATAGCTTAAGTTGGGAGACAGTCGTATTGTAGAAATTCCCATCGAATGTAAACACCAAACTCCAAAATGACTAGGTATATGAAAATACACGACCCTATGCAATACTTTTAGCCCGCCACTGGGACTGAATATCATAATCATATGTTAACCGGGCGAAGAAAAGATTTATTTTAAAAAAATGGTAAAAAAGAATGTATACAGGCACAGCAAAGTCACAACACAATAGCACCATAACCGTTGCTGTTTGAAAAGATAAATGCTATGACAGCAGTTGCTGACTGCCTCAAAATATTTTGGGTTTCATAAGCTTCGGAAAGTTCTTCTTTTGTTACCCAGCATAGTCTAAAATTTCACAATCTGTCTTCTTGTGAACCTACCATAACATGCTCCAATTGCTTAGAATTGAAGATATTTATGTCCTTTAGTAATGCTGAATATATGAAGACTTTTGCCCCAATACCACAATTCTTCAATCGAACTTCCTTAGGAAATTTATATTTGAAATATCCAGAAGGAGCATTTGATAGAATAGTTCCTTTGTAATGGCCGAGTGAATGTAACGACAATGATCGTTCAGCACACTGAAAATAATAATTAAAGGTAGATTGAAAGAAAAAACTCATTCTAAACTAGGCTAAGCCAAAAAGGATTTTTGAAAACCAAGGTAGTACTAGATTCCAAATTACTCTTTATCTTCAGCATGCACTATAAATAGTGGTAAAACCAAACGCAAAATGTAGAGTAGCAGTTCTGTCTTCCTTTTTCTCATTAGACAACTTCAATTAAATCTCAATTTATCTTAACTGCTAAGATCGAACTCATACCTGTCTCATTGTTTCCTTATCGTCAACTGGAGCTGACGGAAGTACCCATAATTCATGGTTTCCGAGCTTCTTCTTCACAACATAGGTGATTGAATCCCAAATTTTTCTGTTTAGGTAATTTGTTTCTATTCATCATCATGCGATATTCTTTAGAGAAGAAAATTGAAACGTCAAATTGGAACTTGACCTCTGTGTCTGGTTACCAGTCTATGTCAGGTACGAGAACAAGTACGCAGGATATTTGTTCATATGCATGGACCACTCTACAGATCCGTGACGGACCTGAGTCCGAGCAATTCATCCCCACTATGATTCAGACATCTGAACCGCGCAGGGTAATCAGAGGTAACCAAGGCATATTCCCCTAATGCGTTCAGCATGATGTGCAAAGGGGGCGGCTTAATGTCAGGTGCCATACATGAAAATATTCAGCAAACTGGCATGGGTTCATTTTTCAGGAATTCTTTGAACTTTGCCCTCATATTCATTGCTTCCATGGTCCACATGTGTTTACTTGAAAATCAACAGCATCGTTCTCGTGGATCTCCTGCTTAGAATAAGATATACAAGAATGGAATTGCTGGCTGCTTCGGCACAATTGTCAGTTTCTAATGTGATTTGGTTTTAAGTTTATGATTTATATATGGTTCAAACAGCCTAACTACTTAGTAACAACTAGCTTACTACCCTAATTTAAAACAGAAGAGGCTATCAGGAAAATTCTTTATCTGGCAAACTGAATAGTTATTCAAAAATATTTGTACACTAGTACTATGCAGATATTGATCAATACAATAGCCACAAGTGGATCTCGTATGATGAACCTATGTATGAATGCTACATACAAACAACACAAGTACATGAAAATGCATGCCACTGTCGGGACATCCTTATAATATGGCTAGTTAGGATAGCAAATTGCAAAAATAAAATTTTGAATAACCTTCAACAGCTCTTTATATTCATTCTGCCGCAACTTCTCAACTTGCCCAGTCCACAATATACACTCTTCTCGAATTCTTGATCTCGAGAAGCTTCAAATGTAATTTTGTTCGAGCTGACTCAAATATGGAGACACCAACGGTAGCCTTGTCTGAAAGAAGTATAGTATAAGTTTAAGTATAGTGATAAGTGTATATTTCGACCTATAATCAGCATAACAAATGATAAAATATTCATAAAATGGAGTAAATAAAAACTGATTACAAAATCAGAAAAGAAAACAAAACCAAATTCCAGGCGCGGCGGTGTGGCTCAACGGGCTAAGCGTTAGGAATACGCTCGCCACCGCACCTCTAACTATTCTGCGTGGGTTCGCAGGTTCGAATCCCATGCAGGGATGGTTATGTGCGAGAGGATTGCTGGACTCCTCGCCGTCGTTGGGTGGTTCACGTAACCGCTGGTCGGTTACGGCTTCCTCCACCACCAAGTCCATGCTTCCGAAAACAAACAATACAGTAAAACTAATCCCATACCCGACTTGGAATGGTAACCGGACGAGAGGCCGTGGTTCGCCATATGGATAAGCCGTCTTATCGGCTTTCCTCTCCCCCGGGATAAATATGTAATTCCTATCCTATCCTATTATTCTTAACATCATTTGCTCTAACTGGTAGGTATGTCAATAGCCAACCCCACCGCCCTATGTTATTTCTGCTGGAAATGGTTGAAGGGTGTCAAATGTCAGAATGCGATGCATGTCAATGTCCCGATTCACACACCCCTAAGTTACATTCCCAAATCCAGTTCATACAGTCTTACTCAATTCAATTTAAAATATAAGAAAATTTTTTCTGCTGTGCCATGGACATTGATCAAAAATTTTGAGTTGAAACTCAGAAAACCAGGCAATGCATGCTCGTTTACAGGTGTAAAAATTGAAAATATTCCAAACAAGGCTTATTGACTCCATGTAGTACGCTTTCTAAATCATGACATATCAATTGAGCATAGGCAAATTGAATACCGAATACACATGCAGACATAGCAACTCACCAAGCAAACCGCTGAAGTCAACTCCCATTTAAGAAGATTTTTATTCTCAAGCGTGGCTACTTTCTTCAATGGAGTAGTTTGTTTGAAACGTTGAAAATACGAAGCCTTATCAGAAGATAGTAAGTTTTGTCGATTCCTGACAGCGGAAAATATCATCCTCTGGAAGGATCGTAGCGCGGCCATTTGTTTGCATAAAACAACACGCGACTACTAATTTTACTGTTTACGTACGACCTCGACGGCGTGTGCAACTGCGAATACGCAATATAGACGATATAGGCCTTTCCCTTGAGCGCGACGAGTTAACGTCTTGCTAATCGGTTTATACACGATAGGCTATGATCAATTTTCATTTTATGGAAAAGTGAATTACCAAGGTAACCTAGAAAATTGTTACGCAATAATGGCGCACAAAACATTTGGTGATGTCATAATGTAAGAACACTTTCTGTTTTACTTCCGTATCAATGTCTAATCAGCAATAACATAAATGTGGCTCACGGTTAAAGTTTAGCAACCTTTGAGACATCTTCTTCACTAGAACAGATCTCGATCTGGAGTTGTGAACTCCGTATTTCGCGCAATTCAGAAAAATAATTCCTGACGTCATAATACATTTATATAGAATAAAGTGCCTGCTATGAGCTCGTGATGGATTTCTTTTTTGACGTTGTTGTTGAAGATGGGCCTCATACGTACCCTTAATAGTCTTTGTAGCGCATTATCAGTAATCAGTAATTTATTTTTTCACCATGCTGAAAAATACGAATTCTACATACACAATTTAAAAGAAATATATAAAAAAAATCGCATTTCAGGGTGAAGGGAGACGCTGAAAACCAAAGCTGGTTATCGAGCGGCGACACCGTTGAGAAAGTCTAACAAAACGCGATAAATACAATAATGTCGAACAAAAATATGTTATTCGATAAGTAAAATGAAGGAGCAATAGGTACATCAAGGCGACATGGTGAAACCAACCAGTCTCCATTACTGTATAAGTATAAGTTCATTTCGACTCCATAACCAGCATAACAGACAATAAAATGATTGATAAAAATGATACCTGATTAGGAAATCAGGAGAGCAAACAAAACCTTAGATAATGTTTAAAACGTACATAATATAAGATGGGAGGTTTTGCCAAAGAGAAGTGGTACGTGTTCACTCACCATTATTTTTGAGTTTTTTATTTATTTGTAACCGGTAAGCGACTGCGTTACAATGATCTGACAAGGATTCAATAAGGTAATATTTTTATTGGCACCGCATTGTAAATAAATAAATTAAATTTCTATCAGTAAGAAGCAAGGTGTATTAGGAATGGAAAGTTCGGCATTCACTGGTGTCTGACATATATACTTCATTGTTCAAAAAAATGTGGTTTGTCAGAGCAAGAGGCACTACTGTACAAGACACCTTGCTAGCATTGTGGGTCAATTACGGGTTGAAAATATTCACCGAAACTTATCTCCAGAAAAAAAATATTCAGTTCCTAGTTTAAACAGAATCGAATGGGTGATCTCTCAGTAAATATCGAATAGAGTATATTTATTTAATTATTATGGGCATTATACGAATCTGTGAATTGTACATAACATAATCCCTCCTTTGGCATCACGTACTGCTGAAAGCAGTTTATCAAAAAAACGATGCTGCGAAGACAAATTCTAAAACAGCTTACAGATAAACCCTTGCAAGCACAACTTCGAGTTGCTAAAAACTATAATAGGGTTTTCGATGGCCCGGGCCTCGATCGTTGGCAAAATTTTACATTCTGGTCCATTGCGATAACTGTTGTACGTCCCTGGCCTAGGGCCTCTCATCGTCCAAATCTTCGTCTAACGACTCTAACCACATAAAATATTTCATAAGAAACTACTAATTTTACCGTGCAGATGTATATTTTAACGTTATCGTGGGGAACAACTTGTAAACTTGACGCTAGGCTCATACCTATCCAGTATCCGATTTACAATAAACAGGTAATGTGAACACGGGTTAGTGGGTTCAAATATGAACTTTGAGATTGTAAAGTTTGCAGAATAGCGATGGGCGTGGGCAATTTAGGATCCGTCGTGCACTCGACGGTGACCGTACATTTGAACCCATGTGTATATCCGCACGTTCAATCTATATGTGGGTGCTAAACCCATGGTTTAGGGTTAGTTTGGTCCAAATATCCGTAAAACAAATAAAAATTCCATAGGTGCAATAGTATGCAGGTGCAATTGTCGTGGGTTCAAATGTAATAGAACCGCACTCGACATCAAACAACGTTCGGTGTGGTTCCCAGGCAAGTGATTATTCGGTAATCAAAACGGAGATGTCTGCATGGACGTTTCTCGACCGTTGATATAAACCAGAAAAATTGCAAAAATTATGATGAAGTTCATATTTTGAAAGTTACAAATTTGTTTCCATGCTCATAACAATCATTTTGATTCAAGATATTTCATCCCCTGCCATTCGAAAGTATTGTAGCTGATTTTAGCCGGGTCTAACGCAGGTTTCCCGGAATTCATTTTTTATCAAATTTAACTGAACGAAAACATAATTTCGGAGACACAATTAAAAACTGACAAGATGCATGCAGAACCTCGAACCACGTGCAAAAATGTGCGTGAGGTAGCAGAAGTCTGAATACCAGAAGTGAACAAGTAAGTCGATAATCGGAGAAACATATATTGCTATTGTGACGACCCTTGTTTTGCCTGTTAAATGACTTCATGTAATATGCTTCCATATTTGGTATTCTAGGACCCTTGTTTTATCTGTTAAATGACGTCATGTGATATCGTTTCCATATTTGGTATTCTAGCAGTTTAGACGCTGCGACACGGTCGATCGGTTCTCGGGGGCAGCGTGGTCTGTTGGTGTATGCTGTGCCTGTGTGTGACAGAGTGGAGTCGTCTGAGTGTTTCGGTTGGATTGGTGGGTTTTGAATGTCTGTGTGAATGCCCCTGGTCTTCAGGGATGTTTGTCTGTGTTGTGTGACTGTCGGATGTGTTGTGCTGGACAGTGGGCTGACGTAGGGACCATGTTATTGTTTTTACCGGTACAGTGCCATTACAGTTCATTTACGGTACCGTAGTGTTGTATTTTCAGTTTTATCGTGGAATTAGCTTTCATCAGTATTGTTCAAATGTTGTGCACCTTGTTTATAGTCTTTTTAAATGCCTGTCATAAGTTACTTTCGGCCTGTTTTGCAAATTGCAGTAGCTAATTTATGGTACCAGATTCTAGGGGTCATTTGGTTTTTAGTCAGAGCTGTCTTGGATTTCAGGGTTTGTCAGTGTTTTTGTTGTGTATGTGGTCTTTCTTGCATTTTACTGCCTGGTATGGGTTATTTTTATTTTATGCTTTTCGTTCCTTTGGGAGTGTTTGGTTGTTTTGGATCGTTTACTGTTCGAGTTGTTAATAAATGACATAAAATAGCATAAAGACTTGGACTATTGAGAGAAAACTTGACGTCAGATCATATTAGAAGATATTCTGAACCTGGATAATTATTTCATACATTGCCGGTACGCTACAATTTTTGGCGAGAGCACGCCAGGATATTTTCTATGAACTATGATTTTTTTTCTCTTACTTGGACTAATGGATGATATGTCAAGGCTCTGGTCAATAACGTGCCTGTTTTGTTTTTGATTGATACCGGTGCGGGTGTCTGGCTCATTGACACCGCTGTTACTTGACGTTGCAAGAGGATTCGAACATTTCGGGGCTGCATCCTGTTCCAGTACCACTCCGTACTGCCGGTTGCGAGTCATTGGTGTCTCATGGTGTACTTGATGTCAACCTGACAATTGAAAGCTGGTCTGTGGAGCATACAGTTGTGGTCGGCGATCCAGGGTCACGTGCGGGTGTCTCGCTCATAGACACCGCTGTTTACTTGACGTTGCGGGAAATTCGGTTCGGGTGTCTCGCTCATAGACACCGCTGTTTACTCGACGTTGCAGGAAATTCGGACATTTCAGAACTGTATTCTTTTCCAGTACCATTGCGTACTGCCAGTGGCGAGTCGTTAGTGTCTCATGGTGCACTTGATGTCAACCTGACGATTGAAAGCTGGCCTGTGGAGCATACCGTTGCCGTCGCCGATCTAGGGTCACGGATGGACTATCTTGGCAAATTCGTCGCATCGTTTTGTTCTTGAGGGACAGGATGTTAAGGTACAGCACCAAACAGCTTCTCCCTGCTGTCATGGGACTATAGTTGAAGATGTGGTTATACCGGGCGCTCGGGACTGGGTGTACTAGTTCAGCTACAGCAGCCTTGGCCGTCCGGAGATCTAACATAGTAGCCGTTGTTGAGCCAGTGGAGATATGCAGCATCAATTTGGTCGCTTCGATGACGTTTGTGGACTCAATCCAGAATGACAAACTTTACGGATGTGTAAGCGTGAGCATGGACACTCTGTGTATTTTAAGGACATTCGTGGACATATTTTGTTTTGACTACTGCTTTTTTGTGGTTTGGATCTTTTTCTAGAGATGAAAACATCCTTTCATAATGTTTCATCTAGAAGAGGGGGGTAATGTGACGACCCTTGTTTTGCCTGTTAAATGACTTCATGTAATATGCTTCCATATTTGGTATTCTAGGACCCTTGTTTTATCTGTTAAATGACGTCATGTGATATCGTTTCCATATTTGGTATTCTAGCAGTTTAGACGCTGCGACACGGTCGATCGGTTCTCGGGGGCAGCGTGGTCTGTTGGTGTATGCTGTGCCTGTGTGTGACAGAGTGGAGTCGTCTGAGTGTTTCGGTTGGATTGGTGGGTTTTGAATGTCTGTGTGAATGCCCCTGGTCTTCAGGGATGTTTGTCTGTGTTGTGTGACTGTCGGATGTGTTGTGCTGGACAGTGGGCTGACGTAGGGACCATGTTATTGTTTTTACCGGTACAGTGCCATTACAGTTCATTTACGGTACCGTAGTGTTGTATTTTCAGTTTTATCGTGGAATTAGCTTTCATCAGTATTGTTCAAATGTTGTGCACCTTGTTTATAGTCTTTTTAAATGCCTGTCATAAGTTACTTTCGGCCTGTTTTGCAAATTGCAGTAGCTAATTTATGGTACCAGATTCTAGGGGTCATTTGGTTTTTAGTCAGAGCTGTCTTGGATTTCAGGGTTTGTCAGTGTTTTTGTTGTGTATGTGGTCTTTCTTGCATTTTACTGCCTGGTATGGGTTATTTTTATTTTATGCTTTTCGTTCCTTTGGGAGTGTTTGGTTGTTTTGGATCGTTTACTGTTCGAGTTGTTAATAAATGACATAAAATAGCATAAAGACTTGGACTATTGAGAGAAAACTTGACGTCAGATCATATTAGAAGATATTCTGAACCTGGATAATTATTTCATACATTGCCGGTACGCTACACTATGATGTCACAATTCTTGCGCTCGTGTTTCGATAAAAATTCAAATAGTCCTTCAAAGCTATGGAATATTAAAAAAATGATGCTAATGCTGCCATAATTAAGAAGCAAATGCGTTTAGCCAATGTAATGGACTGTAAAATATCCCGCTACTACATATTTGGAAAATGGGACAGGACAAAAGCAGAAAAAAAAATGACAAGCCACAACTAAAAGTAGCTTTTGCAGGTAATGAAACATGATTAGTTGCACTGAAGGGTGCCCGAAAATTTTTAAAAGAAAGTCCGGCGATATAAATTATAGAATACCAACACTCTATTAACTCCTGACCGAAATGCGGTTTTGAAAATAGAAGAATTAAACAAAACACATTTAAAATATTTGAATAAAATTTTAAATCGTTTATTGCTTGTTCTGCGTCCCAATGCAAGGTGATAACAGTTTTAGTTGATGGACGTTTTGGTTATCACATTAAATGCGAAAAGAAACTGTGATTCAAATGATGCGCAGCCAGTATGTTCCCCGGCTTTCCATTTTAGGAGGGTGTTTCCAAATATATGGGGTTGTGAAGATTTTACCAATAGTAATGTGATCTTTTTGTTATCGAGAGGTATTTGTTTGAAAAATGATAGTTGAATTTATGAAAATATTTGAACAAGCAAATGACGTAATTTAGAACAGTAGTATACTAGTCCCATGACTATACAACAGCCTACGTGGAACCGCCACAAGACGCGCAATTTTTGATTACGTCATCGCATACAAAAATCCCCCGAATGGTAACGAATCCCCCAATTGGTAATGATTCGCAACCTTTTTATTCTGTGACCCACTCTTTCATTGCACAAATATTCTGTGGCCCATTAACTTTCTTTACATTATTGAATAAAATGACAATTGCCACTCAGCATAAAAACATCTAATTTATCAATAACTCCAGCAATTTTTTATAGGTTTTTGGCCCACCTGACAACAGCAATCGAAACAAGTCTATGCCAGCACTACGCTGGTTAGGCTTCGTGTACTTTTAAATTTGTCGCAGAGGGCTCAGTTAACCGTAGTTCTTAAAGTATATGCGACTGCGTTTGCAAATCCGGCGATCTGATAAATTGCCAGTGAGATCTCAATGACTTACCCGGCAACAATATCATGAAAAGATTGGCGATCGGATTTGTTGATAAATACCGCCATTGTGACTCCCGAAATTAAAACTTGCACAATGAATATAGTCATAAGAGTAAGTTGCCAATGTTGTACTTGTACTCATATGTTTATATATTGTTCATATAAAGAATGGAAGAGGGCAACTTCATACTTTATTCCTTATATGACATCGATTTGTGACCTCTTTGTAAGTATGCAAAGCTTTCTTGGGATCTTCAGTGTTTATGTGTTTTTACATTGTATCTGCCCAGCACATGATTCATTCAAAGTGACACTCTGTGGGTCATAAATGCTGGAATGAATATTGCAACTGTGCAAACCCAGTGGGGCCAATACTCTGCAACCCAACTATTACTTGCAGTCTTCATCAATGCCAGTTCACAGTTATCAAGCACTCCAAAACGAGAAAAACAGAATATGTAGGGTAGTGATTGTTTAATAAATCGCAAAGCATCGCCACAAAATATCCAAAAAAACTCAATTTGACACCAAAGAAATGTAAAGGAAAATGGATGTAAATATACAGAAAGATACAGAGATGGGACGGGATATTAACGAGATAAATCCAAGCATTTCAATAAAGATATTTTCACAAGAAAAAAAGGAGAAATTAATTTCACTCTAGCACTATATACAACAGAACAACTAAGATGGCAACAAAATAGTATATTAGCTTGTATGGAACTTCATTAATTCCTAACTAAAAATCATTCTTGCCGACAAAGGTTGTGGATGGACCATACGTTGGCAGTTTGCTCCATTGACCAATGCTTAGCTTACGCATAAAAAAAATTTCAAATTCAACGGTGTTAATGAAAATCACTAACTCTTTAATCATGTTATATATTGAAATAATGTAAATTCCGTAGTATTTTAAGAAGCAAAAAAATTTTTTAATACCAGAATACATGATATTATTAGTGACTGGAGACAAACTTCCAAAGGGCTTCTGGAACGTGATCTTCATACTGCAAATGGTGTTCCATAATAGCTCTGGCAGCCAGGCATTGCAACGTTTCATGCTTGACTATATTTACCTTTTGTCGCAAATTAGTTGGTAACATTTCCATTGGAATTTTACCTGTATTATTACGGTTATCAATATGAGCACCATGATATAGTAAGAGATGAATAACGTCGATGCTCTTTGTCACAGAATCAGATATCTCTTCAACATCCGATTTATCAGACTCTTCGCATGCTGTGATTGCAGCTACATGTATGGGTCGATTGTCCTCAGAATCAACTGCATCCCAATTGAAACTACAATCAAGAAGGGTTTGTACAACGGTGGCAGATGGAAAAGCAATGACTGGATATCGACCAAGGGGACATGTATCGGATCCTGAAGCGAGATGAAGTAATGTTCTCTTTTTGTGATCAACGACATTTCTCATGCTGTACAATAACAATTGTTTTTCTTTCTTTTCCATTTTTCGTTGCTCTTCTCCATTGGTCATACCTTCATCTTGAACAAGATCGGCAAGTGCTAAAAGATGCAATGCTATTCCCATAGCTCTGTATGTACGCTGTCCACTTGCTTCACATGCTCCACAGCATGGAGATGGTGAACGTTGGCCAGAATCTGTTCGTTGATTGTCACCTCCTGGTTGATGTGGTGATGAACTTTCTCCAGAATTTCTTAAAAAATAAAAAATTGACATTTTACAAAAGCATTGTGTTCTCAATAAGTTTTTCGCACAAGAACAATAATTATTTAAATGTGTACGTGATAAAAATAAAATTATGGAAAATTTTGTATCAATTACTTTAACGTTTAAGCAAATTTTTGCTCTATGGGATTCCGTTTTCATGTGTGATGACGTCATCAAAAATTGCGCACCCATAGGTGGTTCCGCTTTCGCGGTAATCATAAAAGTTGTCGTGACAGTCTACTGTGACATATTGCATTCCTGTACTACTATGTTTTGGCCTTCGTGTACATATCTATCTAGCACAGCTCTCTTGCTGTATGGTCAATAGGCAGCTGAGATGTGCAGTTTGGGTGACGTCATCTCCTTCGGTGGCGCGCTCGTGTGTGCGAGCACGAATTTCCATTCAAGTACCACAGCATTTTTTTGGTGGTCGACTACTAAATTGTTCGGGCATAAAGTCGCTCGACAGAATTTATCTTGAGAACAGCTACATTGAATTAATGAAAAAAAAATAAAAATAAATATTATTATTACCTTGATCTTGCATTATCTTCATTGTTTTGAAACCGATCATGTGATGGCTGCATGTTGTTGGACTTATCTTGATCTTTTCCTGAAATACTGCTACGTATCGTGCCATCTGCGAAAAAAAAATCATACCATGCATCAAAACAAGCCCAATCTCTGTAAGGCCCATTTACAGAAACAATAAAGTTAGGACCCCACTTGTTTTTACCCTACAAGAGGATGACTTTAAAAATGAATATTTTTAACCAAGGAGATAATTATATATACGAGACTTTTGGAGGGCACAAAGGACATAATTATCCTGGTTTTCCAGTCTAAGGAATACGATTGAAATCAAAGATACTAAAATGTTACTAGGTTTAACCTTTTGATTTTGCAATATTCTTCACGGTGGTTGACGATCCCCGCTTAATTTCATGAATGGCTCTTCTTAATACAGCAAGTATTTGTGTGTGCGTGGCTTTAGGAACTTGAATTCGCATGTTCACTTGATCCTGAATTGGAGTGAAAAATTAAACAGTGTAGTTCAAAAATTAAACCATTCGTATGGTATTATGACATGAATAGAATCTAATAGATCAACAATGACTATCAAGATTTGCAACATAGACGAGATAGGAATACAAAAATCGCTGTTTGTGACAATCAAACTTTAACATAGTGGCGTAAAACATAAGTGGCGTATGGTTTAAAATCTTAAATTACAATCCATGTTGAAAACTACATATCCTACCTTTTGCATGAAGCTGAAAAGTTCAGCAAAAGACAGTAAACTACTAAGTGTCATCGGAGATAATGGTTCAAGATTAGATTGTTGCATATCAAGCGCATACATCCACAGTGCAATACATCTGTCAAAATCGCCTGCATCTGCAAACACTGCCCCGCGATACCTGATAAAATGAATTAAAAATAAAAATAAGGAAATTTTCAAAGGAATCTGCATATCACATAAAACTGTTATGTTTATCATGGGGTCATGTTATGTCTCAAAACTCTGGTATATTTATTTTACGAGATGACATAATTGTGGACCTGTCAAATAGAGTAGCTGTATCAGTAAATGGATCTAAAAGTAGGTATCATATATATAATATAGGGCTGGGAATTTCAGAAAAAACACTTTAACCGTTAACCGGGTAAAATTAACCGGTTAACCGCAGCGTGACGTTTGACACAATAAGTTCTAATTTTAGCTTGTTACGCCACAATGGTTTCAAAACAATTTCACATGATCTTATCCCGGTGTCGCTCGAAATTATTCACAAATCGAGATCGCTCTGCTGCAAGAGATATGCAGCATGCTTCGGAAATATAGGAGCCTATTGGGAAAACCCGATTTCTATATTAAATGTCATTTATGAGACTAATTTTAAGTGTTCGATATGCAAATTCTACCTTGAAATATCATAAAGAAAAACAGCATCAATTGCGCACTTGTTGGGTGACATTGAATAGACCCTTTTGCAATAAAATCGTTAACAATATACTTTGACCGAAAACTGGTTCGAAATTTATCATTGTCAAATTTTCATAATCAGCAATATTGGTACTTTACTAATTTTTGACATTTATTCGGTCCTTACCAATACAGTCAGTGATATTCTTTTAAAAGTGATTGAAACTGTTTATTCACTAATTTTCACCCATCTTACAGAACTTTATCTTTTGGCAATGGTAATCGTACCCATCTACTATTCATTTACTACAGTTAATATCCGTCCTTTAAAAAGAGCTGTTAGAATTATTTGAATCCTACTGATAATTACATAAAAGCTGGGATTTTTTTTTACTAAAATTTTTTAAAAAATTTCAATGAAAATTCTAAATATCCGAATCATTATACAGTGTCTTTTATATACATAGTGTTTAGTCGAAAATCTGTTTAAAAGAGAAATTATAGATTTCACCTTATATAATATGAGGTGTCAGGATGTCTCGGTCCAAGGATTCTTTCTCGAACAAGTAAAGCTTGCATTCTCATGCTATCTGGATCACTACGCAATTCATCCAACGCTTCCTGTAATATAAACATAAACTAACATAAATAAAACAAATTACAATCTTGAATGTAATATGTATTCCTTTCTAAATTCAGATAAATGAATCACTACTTTTCTAAAAAGTATCCCTTTAGAAAAATTGTTTTCAATATTTCGAATTTGAAGAAAACTATGCTGTAGGGCTTAATGGCTGAGGCACAAGCAGTAAAGATTGGTGTTATTTTAATTTATTGGGCCTAGTCATAAGAAACACCAATATTTAGTAAGTTTCATATTAAATCTAGTAATCATCATAATTAACGTAAAGATATGTACAGTCAGTAATCTAAGGCAGGAATCCCAGAGGCCCCTCAATAAATTTAGAAAAAATGAGAAAACGAAAAAATCGTGGAGCTCCTATGTTTCTCTGAGGTAGTTCCTGGGGCTCTGTACGGAGCACTTTAAGAACTTGTGATCTAAGGCTATTTTGAAAATGATACTCATACAGTTAGAAACAAATATTTTACATTTTTGTTTACAGTCAGGCAAATAATACATTAAAGTAAACACTAAACATATGCAATGAGTTTGCCAATTTGCTAATTGTTCATGTACATAATAATATTACGGTACGGCCTAATCTCATACATGCATATCTTATGCATATAATTGATGTCATCGGATGACAACTGTGTTGCACATTGACAATATCATATATTATTGTAGAATGAACAATCAATGTTCGATATATAATAATATTATTTCGGTATCAATTACATTAGTTACTCTATGCAAAATTATCTTAAAGGTAAGATCTTGTAATAATAACAAAAGCAAAGTCTCACCACTGTTTGAGCTTCAACAGCAGAACAATAAGCCTCCACAGGTGGTCGAACTGCTTTCAGTTTGGGTGGATTTGAAGTAGATCTATGAAAAGAATAACTTATTACAACCTTATTGAAATATTATAACACAATATAAAATTCATACTGACATTAGTCTGACCAGACTCTTCAGAAGGGATGTCTTTTGGAGGGAGTAGGAAATATTAACTGCATTCTGCATAGTTAGTTAGTAGGTAAAAAGTAATCTAAAAGTAATGATACTGGAAAACTAAATGACAAATGAGTTTATAAATTTGGTGGGAATGTTGCGACACTACAAAATTACTTAAAAATAATCTGGTCATCTCAATTAGAAAAAAAGATGATGCATTATAACATAATTACACAGTGCATTAGACATTATTAAAATAACCAAAGAATCAGTACGACCATTTGCCTGATTCTATTAATACATTATTAATTAATCATGTTGCTGTGTTGGACCTAACATGTTTTAATCCTATTAGCCATAATGCAATCAGGTGAGTATGTCACACAACGCTGTCTTATCGAAATTGTGAAAAGACCTAAATACCAAACGAAAAACTTCCATAATGAGATATAATTACACAATGGGAATGGAATGGAAAATTAACCTGTTCATAGGTGAC